TTTATTAACCAAGTATTTACTTTGAAAAAGAACAATAATTAAGTCAATCTGAAATTATACTAGGTGAAAAAATAGAATAATTTCATGAGTAATATTGTAAACCATTGTAAACATACAAAAAGAGAAGTAAATATTTTAAATGCTAAGTTTCAAGTATTTTCTAAATAGAAAAGTTTTATAGTTTCAAGTATTTTTTACAATGACCATCCATTATTTGTAGAAACATTTTTAAACCATAATTAATATAAATATAAATATATATGAATATAATATATAAATATGAATATAAAGTATGAAAATAATATAATTTATACATGATTATTATACCTGCTGTGCTTCGAATATATCCCCTCCAAAATTCAGATGTTGAAACTTAATAGCCAAGTGACAGCATTAAGAGGTAGGAGGGACTTTAAAAGGTAATTAGGAGTCTGAGGCAGGAGGATGACTTGAGGTCAAGAAATACGAAAGATTTATACAAGGAGAATTATGAAATACTAAAAAAAGAAATTGCAGATGATGTAAACAGATGGAAAAATCTACCTTGTTCATGGACTGGTAGAATCAGTATAGTTAAAATATCAATATTACCTAAAGTGATCTACAGAATCAATGTAATCCCCATTGAAATACCACCAGCATTCTTTACAGATCTAGAAAAAATAAATTCTACACTTTGTATGGAACCAGAAAAAAACATGTATAGCCAAAGCAATCTTAAGTAAAAAGAAGAAACTGGGAAGCATCAGTCTTCCTGACTTCAAGCTGTACTATAAAGCAATATTGGTTAAATCAGCCTGGTAATGGCACAAGAACAGAAGCATTGATATCTGGAATAGATCTGAGATACCAGAGATGAAACCATCAGTATATGGTAACCTAATTTTTGACACAGCAGACAAAAATATACAATTGGGGAAAAGATTCTCTCTTCAATAAATGGTGCTGGGAAAACTGGTTAGCTATATGCAGAAGAGCGAACCAGGATCCCTACCTCTCACAAAAATTCATTCAAGATGGATAACAGACTTAAACCTAAGGCATAAAACCTTAAGAACCCTGAAAGAAGATGTTGGGAAAACCCTATCAGATATCGGTCTAGGCAAAGAATTTTGAGGAAGATCCCCAAGGCAATCACTGCCGCATCAAAAATAAACAAATGGGATCTGATCAAATTAAAAAGTTTCTGCACAGCCAAGGAAACTATCATTAGAGCAAATAGACAACCCACAGAATGGGAGAAAATATTTGCTCTCTACACCTCTGATAAAGGTCTAATAACAAGAATCTATCTAGAACTTAAAAGAATTAACAAGAAAAAATCAAACAACCCCATCAAGAAATGGGTAATGGAAATGAACAGAAACTTCTCCAAAGAAGACAGAATAATGGCCTGCAAACATAAAAAAAATGCTCAACATCTCTAATCATCAGAGAAATGCAAATCAAAACCACAATGAGATACCACCTAACTCCAATGAGAATGGCTTGTATTAAGAAATCCCAAAACAACAAATGCTGGTGAGGATGTGGAGAGACAGGAACACTCTTACACTGCTGATGGGACTGCAAATTAGTGCAACCTTTGTGGAAAAGAATTTGGAGATACCTAAAACAGCTAGAAATAGAAATACCATTTGACCCAGCAATAGCATTGTTGGGTATCTACCCAAAAGAGCATAAGACATTCTATTATAAAAAGAACTGCACCCGAATGTTTATGGCGGCACAATTCGCTATTGCACAGTCATGGAAACAACCCAAGTGCCAGTCAATTCATGAGTGGATAACCAAAATTTGGTATATGCTCACAATGGAATATTACTCAATTCTAAGAAACGACAGTGAGCTAGCACTGTTTATGCTATCCTGGATTAAGCTTAAGCCCATTATACAAAGCGAGGCGACACAAGATCTGGAAAATGGGCTACACATCTACATGCCATCAAATTGGTACTGACTGATTAAATCTATGGTGCTCAAATAGTGGCAGTGTTCACCAGGGGTTCGGGGGTTGGGGGAGACCCACATCTTAGGGATGTGGTGAGCATTGTCGGGGAAGGGATTACCTCTAACCCTTTTTAGGGAGAGGCAAAGATATACAATGTAACCAAAATGTCAAAAAAAAAAACTTTTATCAGGTAGTGGGCAGGCGGGAGGGGGGAGGAGGGGAAGGGTGTATACTTACATAATGGAAGCAGTGTGCACCACCTGGGGGTTGGACATGCTTGAAGCTCTGGCACGGTGGGGTGGGGGAAGGGTGGCAGGAGCAATATATGTAACCCTAACAATATTTGTACCCCCATAGTATGAGGAAATAAAAGGAAAAAAAAAAAAAGAGTTTAGACCAGCCTGAGCAAGAGTGAGACCCTGTCTCTACAAAATACAGAAAAATTAGCTGGGCATGGTGGCAGGTGCCTGTGGTCTCAGCTACTTGGGAGGCTGAGGCAGGATGATCACTTGAACCCAGGAGTTTGAGGTTGCAGTGAGCTATGATGACACCACTGCACTCTAGCCAGGGTGACAGAATGAGACCCTGTCTCAAAAACAAAAACAAAAAAATACAAAAAACAGTAATTAAGCCATGCAGGTCCCTCCATGGTGAAGGGATTAAGACCTTTAAAAAAGAGGCTTCACACATTTTGCTTGCTTGTCCTTCTGCCTTCTACCACATGAGGACACGGCGTTCTTCCCCTCAGAGGGGGCAGCAATAAGGTGCCATCTTGGAAGTGGACAACAGGCCTCACCAGACAATGGAACCTGCTGGTGCCCTGATCTCAGATTTCCCTGCTTTCAGAATTGTGAGAAATAAATTTCTGTTCTTTACAAATTACCCAGTGTGTATTTTTTTTGTTACAGCAGCACAAACAGACTAAGATAGTGTCATATCAGGAAAACCAATGGAACATTCAAAAAGAAATAATCAAATGCTAATAAAATGATGAACACAATAAATATATGTTGTTAACAGTAGTCAAAGGTATTTACTGTCCCTGGGTTTGATAAAGCAACTTCTAAAAATTCTAATAAATTTTAGTATAATTAATGGTTACCCCATCTGAATAATATTCAATGAAAATCAGAAAAATTGAATTTTTCTAGGACGGGCAGTCACCTTAGCAAAAAACCTTCTAGTACTCCTGCCTTAGAGAGCATATTGTTCAAGCACAGGACTTGAAAAGGCAGACTCTACAGTTTCCCTTTGGCAATTTCATATCGACATCATTTTTAGTAAGCTTTCTTCCCCATAAATGTAAATACTTAGGTCATTAAATATGAAATGTCCAATTTTGAATCAGAAGTGTAGTTTATTATTTCTCAAACAAGAATCGGTTCAATTAATCAATGTATGCACCTAAACTATCAACACAGTTTTGCCATAGTAAGGGTAGCTTATTTATGTCAGCAGCAAAGAAGACCGGAGAGCCAGTGGCAATAATACTGTAAAAGGTGTTTTCCACAGCTTGCTGAGAATTGAATATTTTTCCTTGCATAAAGTGGTCCAAAGCCTGGAAAAAGCGGTAGTCAGTTGGTGCAAGGTCTGGTGAATACGGTAGATGACAGAGAGTTTCCAAGTCCAGCTTCTGTAGTTTGAACAGTGTTTTTTGCAACATGTGGTCAAGTGTTATCTTGCAAGAAGATTGGCCTGTCTCAGCTGCTTAAACACAAGCATCCTCATCATTTCATCCAATAGGTTGCAGTAGACATCAACTGTAATCTAGTGACCATGTTTCATGAATCTGTAGTGGATAATACCAGTGCTGGACCACCAAACAGACAGCATTAGCTTTTTTTTTTTTATGATTATTTGGTTTTGGACTGTTTGGCACTTCATCTTTATCCAGCCATTGTGCTGAACGCTTGTGATTATCAAAAAGAATCTATTTTTCATGACACATAACAATATGGTGTAGAAATGGTTCACCTTTATAACATGACAGCAAAGAAGGGTAAGCTTCGAGATGATTTCTCTGCTGATGCTTGTTTTATTCATGTGGAGCCCATCTATCCAGCTTCTTTAACTTACCCATTTGTTTCAAATGGTCCAATATTGTTGGAATAGTAACATCAAACCTTGCTCCTAATTCACATGTAGGTTGAGATGGATTCGTTTCCACCACGGCTTTCAGCTCATCATTATCCACCTTGGTCTCAGGTTACCCATGTTGTTTCAAAATTAAAATCCCCAGAACAACTTCTCAAATCATCAAATCACTGACGTGCTGCACATTCATTAGCCACATTCTTCCCAAACACTTTGTTGATATTTTGAGCTGTGTGCACTGCTATGGTTCCACAATGGAACTCATATTCGAAAATAACACAAATTTTTGACTTATCCATGGTTTCCCAAAAATTACTCTAAGAAAAAGCTTGAAAGATAATCACAAGCCAAAATGTGTGTTTGAAAGACTGAGGATGTACCTTCACAATAAAAATAAAACAAGAAGTGTCAAAGTGAAATGTGAGAAATATCAGCTGTCAAACTTAGTACTTAAGGAAATCGGACATTTTATATTTAATAATCTAATACCTGGTTCGGTGGTTTAAGTCATTGGCATTCAATGAAGACAGAAAAAGAAAATCACAGCTCACTATTTTTGTCTAATGAAGCCTCATTTAACTCTAATTGTCTCTATAGCACCTGGCACAGAGCCTCAGTCACATGTTAAATGAACAAAATATAGATGAATAAATATTATAATGAAATCCCTTTTAACTTGTTTTTCTGCAGGAAAAATAATCTGTTTCTTTAGTCTTTTATTGTGGAGTCATTTATTTCCTTTTAATCTTTAATAGTCTTTGTGGTTTCCCTTTAATTTCCTGATGTATATTTTAAGATGACAAGGCCAGAACTAAGCACAGCATTCTACTGAGGACATGACCAGTCAGGCACATACCAGAAGAATTGTTTTACAGTTATTAATGTTACATAAATATTGTCATTCCAGAATCACACCACAAACTTCCACCCATAAAAATAATGCTGAAACGCTTACCTCAAGAACTAACCAGAGCTTATCTCCATTGACTTTATCCTTCTTAAAGTAAATTCCATAGAATTTGACCACATTAGGGTGGTCAGAAAGTGTTTTTAAGATGTTATACTCTGCTTCAATCTCTTCGTCAATGTCCTAGTTTCAAAAAGTCATAAGAAGAGAACTGTGAGAAAAACATGAATAATGACAAAGAAACAGAGACTACTAAATATAGAATTTAATTTTATCACAGCAAAGTCATAATAGTTTTTCACTGTGCTTAGTATTTAATATTCTGTATTGAAATTTCTCATTATCTTGTTTAAGGAGAGAGATTGTGATTTTCGTGCTAATCAAGTGCATCTCAAGTTATATTAATTTTATTGAATTTAAAAGGGATAAATAAAAGGCTATTTTTGTATGCAATTAGAAAGAAACATATGGAGAACTATTCCAGATGATTTTGCTTTTTTTCTGTATTATTAACTTTGTTACAATGGCAAAGCTATTGATTTGAAACAAAACCTTTTAGTACTAAAACGCTGGTTCATTTTGTTTCTTTGGAAAACAGGGTAATTGAAAGCTATCATTAAACCAGCCATACAAACACTAAATTCCTACTTTTCTAAAAAAAAGTAAAATAGTTAAATTATAAAAGATAGCACATAACCTTTAGTGAACTAAAAGCCCATTCATCAGAAGTAGAATAGGTTCTATTCTATCAATAAAAATGCAAGCTAGTCACTTAGTCATATTTATAGAAAACCACATAAACATGAAACAACTCACAGAGTAATAAAAAAAAAAATCCTTACTAATATTGTTCTTGCAATGACATATAATGTCTTTGTTGTTTTCCTACAGAATCCTGGAATTACAGAGGTAGAAAGAAATTTTAGATCTGTGCTTTAATTTTATTTTTTTAACAGATAAAGTTTTTATTTTTAAAATAGCATGCTCTTGTTACAATTGTTTTACCAATATTGGATTTAATAATGGAAATATAAATATATGTCTTATGTTATAAAATGTTTCATATCCTAGTTTTTATTTTGTTGTGCTGGACCATTGTTTGGTCTGTTGACGTTGCCATTGCCATTATATTTCCTTTTTAACAATGGACTTGCTATTATAAACCAATCTTTCATATTAAAAATCCATTTAATGTAACAGTACATTCTAAATGTATACAACATTTTTTGTTTATTTTGGTTTTTTTTTTAATGTTGCCAATGTATACTTTATTGGCAACATTTTTCTTTTTTGTGTTTTCAAATTTTTTTCTTTTTTTCAAAATATTAATTAAGAGGGTACAAGTGTTTTTGTTAAATGGCTATCGTGTACAATGCTTAAGTCAGGTCTTAGGGTGTGCCCATCACCAGAATTGTGTTCATTGTACTGATCTCTAATTTTAAAGAAAGAAAGTCAAGCTCAGAGAAGTTGCGGTCAGTCAGAGTTGGTTAGTGTAGAATTCAGGTTTAGATTCCAACTCTACTACCTTCTAATCCTGCTCTTTTAATCCTTCTCCTGGAGAGAAAATTACTAATTAAAAATACATAATGGTAAGACTCCTTTAATTTAAAAAAGCCAATTTTTGTAAAATACTTGGATACATTTAAATTTATTTAAGATATAATCTCTTGGTTATAAATCTTTTTCTATTTGACTTGTGACAAAATGAATGAAGAGTAAATAAATACTTCTTAGGAAAACATATATGTACAATGCTATGAATAAAAGCAAAAGAACAAATTAAGTGCTTATAGTTACAAAATCAATATGTTTCATTAAATCAACAGAAAATTAATTTCCCTTCTCTGAAAAAAATTTAATTTTTTAAAAATCCTCTTCAGTGTGGCTTAAGAGAAATTCTGTCTGAAACCTAAATAAATGCAGGAGGAAAAGGTCTGGTTAAGACGACATATTAGGGTTACTTCTGAACCCATGAATTTGTATTTGTACAATTTTTTGGAAGCTAAAATAATACTGAATCAACTTTAATAATATTGAATCTTTTGAGAGGTGCATTTATTTATGTGCTTGTGCATGTATTCATTCACTTATCAAGTATTTATTGCACCTTACTATACATATCAAACACAAAAACTAGGAAACAAGCAGACTTTTCTTTTACATATTTGCAAAATTATAACTGTTTGTAGAATGACATTGTAATGAATAAATCAAGATAAGATATGGACAGATTTTTAATTGTTTAATATAATTAAAAACAAAGTTCATTCATTTTTTGGTGAAAAAAAATGTGACTTACGTGAATTGGATCCAGAATTTTGACTGCTGCTTTTTGGCCATTTTTCTTATTCGATACTTTAAAAACTTTCCCGTAAGTTCCTTTGCCAATCGTTTCAGTGATTTCCCATGTATCAGAAGGATCAGGAAAGTTATCAAAGATGATTGTTTTTCCAACTAATGGAAACATGTCAAAGGTTTAAAGCCCTGGAGAGAAAAAGTATATTTTCATCTACATTTGACTGGGGATACTAAACAGCACACATTAAACTCATGGGAAATTATCTCATATTTTCACTGATAGGATAGAAAATATATAACAGTAACTGAATATACCTCAGAGTCATAGAAAATTTTAATTTAAATTCTTCTTATTTGCAGATTAATATGAGTTTAATAATGCTTTGCAAGCAGGGCTTCCATTGTATGTTTAATATAGTTCCATATTAATTGCTAATCTTTTTAGATTAAAATAAGAGAAATATATTTATATCACTTTGATTTACTTCTTTATGAATCAAATAATTTTAGAACAAACCTTAGAGATGATAAAATTTAACTTTCTCATTTAAGCAAATCCCACATTTTATAATGAAAAGTACAGTTTCACCTACATTTGGCTGGGGATATTAAATGACATTAAAAGTGATTATATTTTATGCCACTTTTCTATGTAAAACTCAATAACTGGGTCCTCTCCACTGCTTTTAGGATGAAATGTCCTTAACATAACCTGCCAAGTCCTTTAAAATATGGCCCTTGCTTGACTTCTTAGGCTCCTCTCTATACTTTTGCTCTTATACACTATGGTCCAGCTGCTCTGGACCCCTCATGCCACTTCTTTCTTGCTTGAGGGTCTATTAAAGTGATCTCTTCCCACCTCCACCTGTGGCTTCTTCACTAAATTCTAACACCTACTTATGTTCGGGTCTCAGCTTAAATGTCGCTTTCTCCAAATGTGACCATGCTCCACCCCTGTGGGTTGAATGCTCTACCTTGGTGGTCCAACAGCACTCTGCACTGCTGTTACCTGACATCATTACTGCCCACCCAGCACCTGACAAAGTGCTGAAATGATTAATAAATTAATGAAAAGAATATGGTCAATGAAATCATTTATTGATATCATTATCAATCATATCAACATCTGATATCACTACTGATTTCATTATTGTATTTGTAATGATATCAGCTATCATTTTTGTATCTGATATCATCCCTGTACACCCAACACCTGGCATAGTGTTGAATTCATTAATCAATTAATTAAGAGAACAGGTCAATGAGGTCAAGTGACTTTATAAAGGAGATTTTACATATAACTTGGGATAAAATTACAGAAAAAAAAGGAAGGAGATTAAAAAAGTAAAGAAAAGTGCTCTTAGTGCTTCTGGTGGCCCACACATTTTTTCAATTATGTCTACGAAACCACACTCTTTTCAATGTTAAAAATTTGATTGTAGTTGTGTTTGTATGTGTGTGCACCTACATTGAAACACATCTGTTAATAGATATGTATTAATAATCCATAATATTAGCCCATGAAATGCACTTGTCTGACCACACTAATGACATTCAGCCTCATTCACACCATCTATCCATCGGTTCCCCACTTTCTTTAGGTTCATCAACCGTCTTCAGATTGCATTCTTACTCATTCCCCCTGCCCCAACACGGGCTGCGTAACTTGTACTACTGTGACCTTCATGCAAACCCCTCACCACTCTTGTTCCACTTGTTCTCCACCACATCACCTGGGAGAAAAAAACAACTCTGGTTAAATGCTATGTCTTCTTCACACCTGTGCCTCTAGCTGGAGAAAATCATACAACCATGCTAATTTCCCTTGAAATTCGGGATAACAAAACTATAAGTAGATCCTCAGCACTACCCAGCAACCCTAGTGCACTTCCATGGTTTCTATAGTAACTTTTCTCTGGAAAAGTGATATCCTCAAATTTTTCTCACCTTAAATTATTCCTTCTTTTCTGTCCATCCCCTCCCACAAAACTTCACAACTAATTGAAAAAACGGAAGCAATAATAAAATTCTTTAATATCCTCACCCCAAAAGCTACAAACCAATATGTATGATAGTGAGTTCATTCCTAACTTGGGTAATTGATGTTTGAACTCAAATAGTCTTTTCTTTGGTTCCTTCTCATCCTTTAGTTCTCAGTTCAAATGTCACTTCCTTAGAAAGGCCGTTTCTGACCAACCTTCATAAAGTTAGCCTTCTGCACTTACTCTGTTATTCTTCCATTACAATGGAAGCTACATGAGGGTATGGACTTTGTTCCTTTTACTACCTTATCCACAATTTCCAGAACAATGCCTAGCACATGGTAGGCAATAAGTAAATAATGGCTAAATGGGCAAATATTTATTTGTTTAACTGCTCTGACAGCAGAGACCTTATTTATCTCTTTCACTTCCAAATCTAATAATGCCTAACTCTGCCTAGAACACATAGTAGATGTCATTAATAAATACACAGCTGTTGAATAAATGAATGAACATGGTTCTTCATAAAAAGAAGTTTTTGTTTTGTTTGAGACAGGGTCTCACTCTGTTGCTCTGGCTGGAGTACAGTGGTGTCAACATAGTTCACTGCAACCTCAAACTCCTGAGTTCAGGCAATCCTCCTGCCTCAGCCTCCCAAGTAGCAGGAACTACAGGCACATGCCACCAATCCAGCTAATTTTTTCTTTTTTTCATAGAGACAAAGTCTGAGTATGTTGCTCAGGCTGGTCTCGAACTCCTGGCCTCATGCAATCCTCCTGCCTCAGCCTTTCAAAGTACTAGGATTACAGGCATGAGCCACTGTGCCTGGCCCTGAAAAAGTTTTTAGAGTAGGGAAGATAAGTAAGGAATCAGGAGAACTGAAGAGTATAAAAATTCAAAACAAGATTAGGATCAAATTCTGATTCATTATACTTAAGGGCACATCATCTAGTAAATGGCTATGAATGCCTGCTAAAAATTATATCACTACATAAAAACACACTTCTGAATAGTTCTTAGAACACTTAGTCTTTATGAAATTCATGTCTTTGATCCAAAATGCAAAGAGGTAATCAGTAATAATCATCCTCTTTAACGATTTCATAATCAGTGACAAGATAACTACTTCTTACATCTACCTACTTGAGTCATGCAAATCAGCATTTATGCCATCCATATAATATAAATGTTAGACCAAAAGACCAAATTAAATCTTGTTAAATGTCTGAAATGGGAGTTCTCAACCAGGAGAAACATTCATTACATGGAATAATGCCTTTCAAGCAGTAATGTTATTGAATACAATCTTCATTTCTGATACATTAACAATTACAAATTAACTGTTAGTTTTCAATATACAGGCATAAAAATTCAATGAAAAAATGACTGAACACCAAGTATTTTGATGAGTTTTGGGAATACAAAGATAGCCAACTCATGGCTAGATTAATAAATTTATTAATAAATTAATAAAATAGATTAATAAAAAACTCATGGATAGATTAATATGTCACCATAATGTATTATAAAAAGTGATAAATAATAAAATATGCATAAAGTGCTATAATAGCCCAGGTGAAGAATAATTAATTCTAAAGTGGTCAGGAAAAGATTCAGAGGATAAACAATATCTGAGCTGAATACTAAAAATGAGCAGGAGGAGCTTATCTAAAATGCAATTTTTGCATTAACGGTTCTCAATCAGACAAATATTTAAAGCAGTGTATCAATATATTATAAAACATTATCAAACAATAATCACAGAATGAAAAAAACACAGGCATTTTGGAAGCAGAATACACCTAGTCAAATTCCATATAAAGCAAATAAACAAAACTCCCAACACATACGTAAAATGAAGCCATTTAAAATGACTTCAAAATTATACATTAATTTCAAGAATTAGACTAGAAGCAAATTGTCTGAGTCCTAAACTATACTTTGTCCACCACAAAGTTGTTTATACTTTAAGAATAAAATAAACATCACAGTTAGTAGACAACTATTTAATAACTATAGTAAATTGCATTCTACATAACAATGAATGTTCATATTTTTTTTAGTCTTTAAGCATTCACAGAATAAAAAATAATTCTCTAGCCCACATAATTAAAAACATAATTAAGTTCTTAATTACATGATCATGTAAGCCAAATAATGATTTTCAACATATAGTTAATGTATTTGGATGTGTATATTTACCATAATTTTGAAAAGGTACTTACAAAGCTACAGATTTATTTATTTATTTATTTATTTATTTTAGAGACAGAGTTTGTCTCTATTGTCTAGGCTGGAGTGCAGTGGCATGATCATAGCTCACTGCAGCCTTGAACTCCTGGTCTCAAGCGATCCTCCAACCTCAGTCTTCTGAGTAGCTAGGACTACAGGCATGTGCCACCATGCCCAGCTAATTTTCAAATAATTTTTTTAGAGATGAGGTCTTGTTATGTTGCCTAAGACAGTCTCAAACTCTTGGACTCAAGTGATCTTCCTGTTTCAGTCTCCCAAAATACTAGCATTACAGGCATGAGCCACTGTGTGGGTCCACAAAGCTACATTTTTAATATGAAGACTCATTGTTTTGAATTAATCTATTATATATTGAGCTTTTGGGATTTTTCCAAGATAAAAAAAGATCATAATATAATAAAAAAAGTATCTTACTTCGGGATCTTAACATTCATCTCAACAATTACTCTGCTTGTTTTTGTAAACCTGCATTTAATTCTTCTCTAATAAAGCAAACAAACAGCCTTTATACTCATTCTGAAACACAGCAGGGCTGAACCCCCACTGGGTTATCTGTTCCCTCTGCCTGGAATACTCGTTCTCCAGACATCACTCACTCCTTCACAACCTCAACTCTTACCTCAGCCATCACCTTTCCAATAAGTCCTACCCTGGTCATCTTATTTAAACTCTCAACCTGTCCTCCTCTACCCTATCCTGCCTCCCAACTCATATTCCCCCTTACCCTGCTCCATTTTGATAGCACTTATTACTCCTAACACACTATGTAATTTCCTGTTGATTACGTTTTATTTATTGTTTGTCTTCACCACTAGAGTGTAATCCCAATGAAGCCTGACATATTTGTCCACTTTGTTCACTGATGTATCCCAAAGACTTTAAAACCAGGCCTGCCACAGAGAAGGTGCTCCATAAATATTTGTTGAATAGTGAATAAAAATGGAAACAAAA